CGCACTCCGTAGCTGCACTCACGCAGAGACATGTAGGAGGAGATGTATGAAGGCAGCAGACCAAGAAGTGATTTAAAGATGAAAATGTACCAGTGAGAGAGTCTGCGTGAAGTTAATGATGTCCAGTTAACCAATGAATACAGGGTGCAGTGGTGGGTACGATAATCACAGCCAGTTATGAATCTTAGTGCACCATGATAGACAGCATCCAACATCTGCAGGGTTCTTGTAGGAGCGTTCATGTAAATAATATCACCAAAATCAATTGAGGGAAGGAAAGTCACAGATACAAGGCGTTTTCTAGCATTCAGGGTTAGACAGGATCTGTTTCTGAAAAAGAAACCCAGTTTAATTTTCAGTTTCTTTACCAAGTTTTCCACATGGAGCTTAAAAGAAAGATGTGAGTCGACCAAGATACCCAAATATTTATAGGAATCAAAGTCATAGTCGTGTCATCTGATTTGTGGCCGTTTGTTTTGGACACTCAGGTGAAGAGAGGAGCTGAGCTGTCAACTGATCACCACCTGGTAGTGAGTTGGATCAGATGGCGGGGGAAGATGCCGGACAGACCCAGTAGACCCAAACGTGTATTGAGGGTTTGATGGGAACGCCTGGCAGAAGAACCCGTCAGAGAGATCTTCAACTCATACCTCCGGGAGAGCTTTAACCACATCCCAGCTGAGGTAGGGAACATTGGGTCTGAGTGGGCCATGTTCCATACCTCACTTGTTGAGGTGGCTGCCTTGAGCTATGGCCACATGGTTGTCAGTGCTTCTCGTGGTGGCCATCCATGAACTTGGTGGTGGACACCCCAGGTTAGGGAGGCTGTCAAGCTGAAGAAGGAGTCCTATCTGGCCTTGTTGGCCAGTGGGACTCCGGAGGCAGTTGAGGAGTACCAACGGGCCAAGCGGTCCGCAGCCTTGGCTCTTTCAGAGGCAAAAGCTCAGATATGGGAGGAGTTCAGTGAGACCTTGGATAACGACTCTAGGTCAGCTCCGAGGAGATTCTGGCAAACAATAAGACGGCTGAGGAGGGGAAAGCAGCACTTTACTAACACTGTATCCAGTGAAAGTGGGCTGCTGTTGACCTCAACCAGTGATGTCGTTGGGAGGTGGAAGGAATACTTCTTGGACCTTCTCAATTCCACCAGCACGTCTTCCATGGAGGAAGCTGAGTCGGAGAACTTTGGGGTTGATCCATCCATAATTGTGGCAGAAGTCGCAGAGGTAGTTAAAAAGCTCAGAGGCAGCAGGGCTCCGGGAGTGGATGAGATTCACCCTGATCTCCTTAAGGCTCTGGATGTTGTGGGGATGTCTTGTTTGACACGCCTTTGCAACTTTGCGTGGACATTGGGGGCAGTGTCATTGGATTGGTAGGCTGGATGGTGGTTCCCCTCTTAAAAAAGGGGGACTGGAGGGTGTGCTCCAATTATAGGGGCATCACTCTCCTCAGCCTTCCTGGTAAGGTCTATTCAGGGGTACTGGAGAAGGGAGTCCGATCGTTGGTCAAACCTCAGATCCAGGAGGAACAATGTGGGTTCCATCCTGGCCGTGGAACACTGGATCAGCTCTTTACCCTCACTAGGGTCCTCGAGGGATCATGGGAGTTTGCCCATCCTGTCTACATGCGTTTTGCAGATTTGGAAAAGGCATTCAACCGTGTTCCTAAGAGGACACTGTGGGGGTGCTCCATGAGTATGGGATTGGGGGCCTGTTGCTACGGGCTGTTCAGTCCCTATGCAAGTGGTGTGAGAGCTTGGTTCACATTGCCGGCAGTAAGTCAGACCCCTTCAGGGTGGGAGTTGGACTCCGCCAGGGTTGCCCGTTGTCATCGATTCTGTTCATAACTTATGGACAGAATTTCTTGATGCAGCCAGTGGGCGGAGAGTTTTTTGTTCGGTGGGCTCAGGATTCCATCTCTGCTCTTTGCAGATGATGTGGTCCTGTTGGTGTCATCGTGCCGTGATCTTCAGCTCTCACTGGAGCAGTTCGCAGTCAAGTGTGAAACAGCTGGGATGAGAATCAGCACCTCCAAATCTGTGGCCATGATCCTCAACTGGAAAAGGGTAGATTGCTCTCTCCAGATCAAGGTTGAGGTTCTGCCTCAAGTGGAGGAGTTCAAGTATCTCGGGGTTTTGTTCACGAGTGAGGGAAGAATGGAGCGTGACATTGACCGACGGATTGGTGCAGCGCCTGCAGTATTGCGGACTCTGTACCGGTCCTTTGTGGTGATGAGAGAGCTGAGCTGTAAGGCAAAGCTCTCTGCTTATCGGTCGGTCTACGTGCCTATCCTCACCTATGGTCACAAGCTCTGGGTAGTGACCGAAAGAATGAGATTGCGGATACAGGCGGTTGAAATGAACTTCTTCCGCAGGGTAACTCGGAGTAGAATCGCTGCTCCTCCACATCGAGAGGAGCCAGTTGAGGTGGTTTGGGCATCTGCTAAGGATGCCCCCTGGACGCCTCCCTAGGGAGGTGCTTCGGGCATGTCCGACTGGGAGGAGACCCTGGGGAAGACCCAGGACCCGCTGGAGAGACTATGTTTCTCGGTTGGCCTGGGAACGCCTTAGAATCCTCCCAGAAGATCTGGAAGAGGTGGCTATGAAAAAAGATGTCTGGGCTTCTCTGCTCAAGGCGCTGCCCCCACGACCCGACTTCGTAACAAGTGGAAGATAATGGATGGATGGATGGTGTGGCTGCACCTAGAAGAGCTGGTAAATATGATTCACTTTATAGAACAGGTTAATCTGAATCAATCACTAAAATAACCTGGTTCACTTGAGTTGTTCATGCTGTTTGCTAAGTCACAGACATTTTATCTGTAGTCTACCAGAGGAAACGTGGGATTTGATTTAACTAAGACTTCAGATTTGTGGATCCTTATTCAGCATGAGGACTCAAATTATTAGCCCATGTAGATCACGAACCGACCATCTCTAGCATCTAGACATAAGACACTGTGTTGCCATGTCAAAATTCAAGATGTTCATATATTTGTAAACATTTTGATCAGAATAACTTACAATTATTTTTGTCATTTACCCTTTATACAGGTAGTCTCATTGAGCCACCAGAACTCATTTTCAAGAGAGACCTGTTTAGGGAGCAGATGGGGGTTAAGGGCCTTGCTCATGGGCCAAGAGTGGGGCAAATGAGGGTGGGGCAGGTGTGAGTGTTTCACCTACCCCACCCACATTTTTGATGTTGTTGGTATCTGGGCTTTAACCGGCGATCTTCCAATCACAGGCCCACCTTCTCTAACCTCTGCACCATCACTCCCCAATAAGGAATAATGAGCTATGGGTAAACTTCCTTTTTTATATGTGGTTGCATCTAAGCGTAAGAAAGACTCCCTTTGAAAAATGGGGTGCCAATTCAAAATCCAAGATGGCCACTGCCAAATATATATGTAAACTGGCCACTTCAATCATACTTAAAAATAAATGCTTTCTAGTTTTTTGTATTGCTAAAAGGTACAGTTTCCTCAAATGATTGTGGTGGTTGGTGGAAATGATTAAGATTAATCTATGAGGGTCAAGGCTACCATTGGCCATCCCCTGGATTTGTCATTTTGCCTATTGGTGGATCAAATGTTCCCTCAACTCACCAAGAATAATCACTCAGTGCAGCCTCGAACAAGCAAAAAAACAAACAAACAAAAAACATATATTCTTATACACAGTGTAACTACTCAAATACCTATTAGTACTACTTGAATATCTGGCACCAAAAACATTGATTTCTTCCACTCCATGTTTAATTCAGTCCTGAAAAACACTTAACTCAAAAACTACATTCACTATTTGAATACCATAGCAACAGTATACCAATTTTTTTGGAAATTGGGCAGTCAAGTTCCTCTTCATGGTTTACCACATATAAGAGGGGGTGGATGGATGGATGGGCAGATGGATGGATGGATGCATGCATGCATGCATGTATGTATACATGCATGTATGTGTGTGTGTATGTATGTATGTATGTATGTATGTATGTATGTATGTATGTATGTATGTATGTATGTATGTATGTATGTATGTATACCACTTTCTCTTTATAAATACAAGAAGAAAACTAGATACATTTTAATAAACTGACTTGATAAATGCAGATCATGGAATAAAAGTGAGATTGTATAACAACTTTTAAATATAAAGAAAATGTTTTGAAAATCATATTTAGTTAAAGATTGCAATCCTTGGCTGTACATTGGTGTAGTTGCTTAGCAGATTATTGCTTAGTTGCTTATCTTCTTTGTAGCAAGAAAATCCTATGTTGGAGACTTGGTGGATGCCTTTCGAGTGGAAGTTGTATGTTTACCTAAAGCATTTGATGGTGTTCTCTAAATACACCAAGTTCTGAATATAACTCAAAGCTTGTTTGTTTATTGATTATTCTAACTTGATCCTAGTTGTGAGTGTGTGGGATTGTCCTACGTAGCGCTCTCATGGACTAGTAAAAAGTCAAGGGTGTCCCATGCTGTTATCCAAAACTGCCAAAGAACTCAACAACCAGCTCTTTGATCAAGAACCAAATCAAGCATCCATCTATCATCCATCCATTTTCTTTACCCGCTTATTCCATTTTGGGTCACGGGGGTTGCTGGTGCCCATGTCCAGCAATCACTGTGTGAGAGGCGGGGGACACCCTGGACAGGTCGCAAGTCCATCACAGGGCCACATAGAGACAAACGAGACAAGCAACCATTCACTCTCGCACTCACACCTAGGGACAATTTAGAGTTACCAATCAGCCTAACATGCATGTTTTTGGTCTGTGGGAGGAAACCGGAGTACCCGGAGAAAACCCACGCATGCACGGAGAGAACATGCAAACTCCACCCAGAAAGGCCCCTGGACCGGGGTTTGAACCAGGGACCTGCTCGCTGAGAGGCAGCAGCTCTACCAGTTGCGCCACCGTGCTGCCCCCAAATCAAGCATGTTTAAAAAATATATTGGATGAATGGGTAGATGAAAGTTTGAATCCCATTTCAAGTATTTTTTACTTGTCAAATAATTTCTTAAGGTGCTTGGAGATTTCATTCAATTTTAGTCCATATATGATTGGATGAAAGAGAGGATTATACAGTGCCATTTGTATAGTCATTATGAAACGTGCCATTTTTGAAATACTTGTTTCCAATCTAAGTACAACAACATCATAAGCGCAGAACAATGAAAAATTGAGTAAAACCAGCAAATGAGGTAAACAAGTCTGTGCAGCTTTTGTCCTGATAGTTTGACAATTAAAGTAGGATATTATTAGGATTCTTGCATAAGTGAAAACTATATAAATCATGGGCAAAAACATAATAATGAGCAAAACAATCACACCATACACTGATAGTGATCTTGATGTTACACAATGAAGTTTGTAAATTGAATTGTTGCAAAAAATTCCATTTAAAGTAAAGTTACAAAGCTTCTCTTTAGCTGACAGAACTGTTGATCCCGCAACCAGACAACAAGGCACAAGCCAGGCCAAAATCAGCAGGACACAGACAGTAGTTTTCCTCATAAGATTGTGATATTGCAGAGGTTTAAATATTGACACATATCTGTCATGAGCCATGGCTGACAACAATAAGAATTCTGCACCACCCATAGAATAAAATATAAAGTACTGAAAGTGGCACATGGGGTGTGATATGGTCTGTTTTTCAGATATAAAATCAGTTAAAAGTTTGGGGTAAATTGCAGTGCTGAAAAGAACAGAGTTTGTTAATAAAGCTGCAATGAAAATATACATAGGGTCATGAAGGTTTTTGTGAATCACAATAAGGAAAACAATGGTGAAATTACAGCAAAGTGTCAGAACATAGAACATGAAAATGGTCACAAAATAGAAATACCTGTATTTTTCCACCTCTACGTAACCACCAAGTGTTAAATAAGTTTCATTTAATAAGTCATCCATCAAAACAGTCCCTTCCTAAAAGTCAAATAATTGATGTGATCTAAATGATTTCTAATCTGACCTTCTAGATAATTTACAGTGCATTTATGTCAGTAAAGAATAGATCTAATGAAGTGTTGTTGTTTTTTTACTCCATTATTCCTTACGGAACTCATTAATTTTTTCACCCCTTGTAACAAACTTTCTCAAACTCTGGAGGCCTGTTTTATTTGGTGTTGTTTTTGTTACATAAATATGGACTGAGACAGTCATACTCTCATAGTTTTTTCTCCATCAATCCATCCATCCATCCATCCATCCATCCATCCATCCATCCATCCATCCATCCATCCATCCATCCATCCATCCATCCATCCATCCATCCATGCATGCATGCATGCATGCATGCATGCATGCATGCATGCATGCATGCATGCATACATACATACATACATACATACATACATACATACATACATACAT